TGATCAGCACTGATTCTCATCCTCTTATCTCTTTGAACAGGTTTGCCTGATCAAACCCAAACCATGGGAATCGCCCTTTGTGTTTAACCAGACCTGAAGAAATATAATCCAAAAAAGTGGATACGATGCTAAATGACCACTGAGACTCATGAAGAATAAGGAATTAAGAAGAGGAGATGAATGGAGCATCCGCCCACACAGCAAGACAGAGCGTGAGTGAAGGTCGATCTTATTGTTCTTCCCCCCTGTGGCAAACATTGTGACTAATAACGAAGTGAGGCACGATGAGTGGCCGTATCTGGGCTGCATTGCTCTTTCTGTTCGTGTGCTCAGAGCTCAGGGGAAGCAGTGCTCAACTAAAAAGATGGAAGAGTGAGGAAACCGCAAGGAAAGAAAGTCAGGTGGAGCATCTAGATGTGGAGGAAAGGCAAAGTGAGATGCCATTTACCAACACAGCAGGAACACAACGTTTGGCAAAGAAAAATGAGGATAATTTGATGATTTCACCAAAAAGCAACAAAGTCAAAACAGTGTCTTTATCAGGACTGCATCATGCACAGATTGAAGAAACTGCAAAATCAGAATTTGAAATCAGAGTGACTCCAGTTTCGTTGTCTGGCACAAGTGTGAATACAGATTTTACTCCACATAATGAAAGTAATTATTATCCTAAATTCAAAGATATCCCTGAAATCACAAAGACAACGGTATCAACTCTAACCCAGGACTCCAAAATATCTAGAATATCTCACGATCGTTTCGTTCTCGCTGAACTAACTCCTGCAGTAGAGGAAACTAAAACTGACAGATCCACTTTGGATGGCTCATCAGATACCAGCGTGATACTTCTGAAGCCAGCATCTGGGTTAAATAGCAAACGGGATGTGCAAACTATAATGATGGGCAACCAGGAGTCAGACAGCAGTGGTGATTTCCATGGGACCTTTACTGGACCAAATTTGGAGGAGATGCCTTCACAATCCCGCAGCCGAAGAAGCTGGATCTGGAACCAGTTTTTTGTGATAGAGGAATATAGTGGACCAGAACCGGTGCTGATTGGACGGGTAAGGTGAACATTTGTATAATTCATTGTTTATGCTTGCATGCTAATTTAAAATAATGAATTTTTAAAAACTTAGTTTGATGAAACGTGTTTGCAACTCATTTTACTTCTGTAACCCAACGTATTGAGTGAAACAAGTTATTCAAAATGAAAAATAAAATGGCTTGGTTACATAAGATGTAAAGAAAAGTCTTTTCAGAAGAGGTTTTGGTTGAAACTGTGATAGGAAGAATTACAAATACATATTCTTTGGAATAATGTGCATTGACAAATTGTTCACAATCAGACCAGGAAATGGTTGTCTTTAAAGGAGTAGAACACTGAAAAATGATAATTCTGTCATTTACTGACTCCTCATGTTGTTCCAAGCCTGTACGACTCTGTCTTCTGTGGAACACAAAAGAAGATATTTTGAAAAATGTTTGTCATTGTTCATACACAGTCTTCAAAGAAAATGCCTTTTGTGAGCAAAAAAGAAATGCAAGATGAAAAAATGCATACGCACTACTGGTCAAAAGTTTGGAATAATTAAATAATCAAAATACAGTAAAACTGTAATATTGTGAAATACTATGAAAAATGACAATTTAAAAAGAACTGTTTTCTATTTGAATGCATTTTAGAATGTAATTTATTCCTGTGAAGCAAAACTGAATTTTCAGCATTATTACTCCAGTTTTCAGTGTCACATGATC